GTGGGAGGTGTCCCTGCCCATGGCAGGGGGGTTGGAACTCGATGATCTTTAAGGTCTTTTCCAACCCTAACCATTCAGTGATTCTATGATTCTATGATAATAACCAAGATACTCTTACTTTTTTCAGTACTACATTATTTGCAATAAAGCTAAACATTGGATTAGGTCACCAGCAGCACGTAACAGTACTGTATTTCACAGTTTTTTAAGATTATTGAAAAATCAGACTGCACAAAGGATTTGTGAATATACATATTACCAAGGAAGTGATTTTTGTCACTTTGCATTATCTGTTTCTCCGACATTTCCTGAAGACCAAAAAGCTTTAATGATGCCTGTGGTACTAAACCTGCTGATAGAACAGCTAGTCAAACTTGGATGAAAGTCACGCTCTCCAGGGACACTCTCAAGGCTTTTTCACTACTAAAGATGACAAAAATGGAAAGGAGAATTTGGTATCAATCCCCTAAGTGTGTGAAATTCATGATTTATAATCATAACGGTGTTTACGTATGCTATGATTCTTGCTAAAGCTAGACTCAGGTCTTAGTTTTCTACCTTTAAGTAAGTCAGTGATTATTCAATAGCCAAAAAAGCTAAACTACCTGCTTGATGACACAAGCACCCCAATCCCAGTATTATGCCACGGCTTTGTTAGTTTTCTGATACTGCTGTCTTACTGAGTTCTGTGCCTAGGGAAAAATTTAAATGGTGCCATTCATCAGTAAATGAAGCATGACATCTCAAAATCTTATCTCTAGTTGCACACCTGACACATAGCAAAGTTGCTTTACTGTAGTTTAAAGGCCAGTTTGTAGATAACCTCAGTCATAGAACTGCAAGTTAATCACACAGTTGGGCAAGTGACATCATCCATAAATTCTTCTGATATAACAGCACCAGCATGCTAATTTATGTGAACTGATGTCCATTTGCTTATCATGGATTGGAAACTGTTTCACATAAAACAAAATTCTAACGCATCATATGGAGTTATAGCCTATGCTAATTGATTTTGTCATTATTTCCCCTTGTAACCATTTTGCCAGCTCTTAGAGATCTTAAATGCAGCTTTAAGAATGTTGAAACAGGGTATTTTCCCTTAAAATTGAGTACACTAACTTCACTGAGAATTAATGGAATTTATTTTAATGCATGCATTTGTATATGCAACCATCAATCAATCCATATTCAGACAGAATACAGTATGTGCTGTTATTTATTTAAATGGCAATGGATGCTACAGATGAAGACTTATTACTAAAATCTAAATGGCAAAATTTTGGAAAAAATTTTAGGAACAGGTTTCCTACTTGGTTGGTTTAGAACTTCCCAAATCTTTTAGTGAAAACAGAATTCAGGACTAATGGCCCCATTTCAGCACTACACAGAAGCTGAACTGTACTAATGGCAAGAAAGAAAGCTATGAGCATATCCTTGTGTAGACAGAGTTCAGGGTTCAAATTTATTATTTTGCCATCTGTCAAGGGATTCTTCGAATCAATTCTCAACTTGACTGCAAGGGACTCTACTGGGGACACCAGCAGCCATCACACATATTGCTTCTGTAGCAGTGGGAAGTAATGGGAATGCTGGAGGAAAACCCACCCACTCTTCAGCAAGCCTGGGAGCTAAAGCTGACAGTTATCTTCAGTTCAGACAAAAAACAGTGCCTTAAGTTAGGATAAGCAGTCCGTTAGGTGAGTGCAAACTCACACATAATATGACTATTATTATTTAATTATATTTTAGGTCAATTTCTGTTAAATCAATTTCTGTTAAACTTAATTACATCCCTCTATGGCTTTAAACTGGGGCAGCTTCTATTAAGTTTACTTTCTCCTGGGGTTTTCACAGTAAAGACAAATGATAAGGGTCTGGCTACTAAATGAGGGCAGCTATTAAATAAGGACTGTTTGTATTAAAGAAGAATGGTAAAGATGTGGCTACTGGTTGAGAAAACCCCTCAGTAAGGGAAGCGTCTTGTATTAAAAAAAAAAATGAAAAAGAGAGTGAAGGAAGAAAGAGAAGGAAACAAACTTTGTTCAATAACTCTTATAAGAAATTAACTGAATAGCCAAAGTTTCATGGCAAGTTCCTCTGAAGCTTCTCTTAGAAACAAGTGAGTGGTGATTTGATACAGGCGCCTCCTTAATGAAAGAGTAGAAAATTAAGCACAACCCCTGGTTCTGGAGACCAAGATTCAAAAACATATCTCAAGAGAACTTGCAATGTGATTTCAGGCAGTTGTTGATAAATAAAAATTCTGTCTGCATTATTCTAGAAGATAAAACTGAGAACCATATATTGTAATCCCATTTATAATTACATCGTAATTCCAGAAAGAATAGAGTTTAAACAAACTTTTAAAATAATACATTTCTAATGTGTATTTTGTTGGACTGTTTTCTTCTGGGGTGGGGAAGTTATACATCTCTGGAATTCTTAAAATCAGACTCTGTTTTATTGTGGTTCTATTGATATTTGTGGAGAAACTTAGTTCATTACTAGCACTGACACTGCACTAATGCATATATTCTGATTAATGCAGCTATAAAACAAATAAGAAAAAATGCATTACTTAATGTATCATGTTGTTTTGTGGTGTTCTAGAGATGTGAAACACACAAAGCCAGCCTAATCTGAGTGCCTAAGTGTATTAGTGGCTCTGTGTCCGCCAACACGCAAATTTCCATATTGCTGATGCTGGAATAAAACCCAGCCATTTCATAAATGTGCTCCTTCATTTTCAGACAGTTCCTGGTGTTTTTTACAATGAACAATTGCAATAATTTTTTATACACAAAAATGTGTATGAACAATGAGGTTATACTATTCCACATTTGATGTGATGGTTGATAAAAATACACAGAGAATTTCTCCTCCACCTTGTTTAGTATTCCTCATAAGAAGCACAGCGGGCCACCTTGGGTCCAAAGTAGTTGGCAGCAACTTAGCCCAATGACAGGAAAAATCTACTTGGCTGAGGGCCTACACCTGATCTTCAATAAGCATCTGTTAGATTTCATAAGAAGAATGTTGAAGATAATATACATATTAGTTTTCAAATGTACCACAGTGAAGAGATTACTGTAGTGATTCTTTTTTAGTCTGGAAGATGTATTTTAAACCTGAAAGATGCTTATTTCTCTGAACTTCGGAAGACAGAACTCAAATTAAGAGAATATCAATATGCCAGTTGCCAGGTAAGAGCTCACACAGACCATCTTCAACACAGTTGAAGTCATACTGTTCACCTTACCTGTTAAAAAAAAAAAAAAAAAAAAAAAAAAACCAAACCACAAACCCAGCACAAAAGTATTTCTTGATTAAAACACCTAACCAGTGTCCAGGCTTTATGGGGGTTTATGACCTGGAACAAATACTAAGGAATTTGAAGAACATGTCAAAGTACTGAAAGACAAATCTTTTTTTTAGTCCTCCAAAGTTAGATGTAGCCAGCAGAGACCAATTGTGGGTGTGGGGAAATAAAATACAAAGTTCCTGCCAATCTGTGTTCAGTACAGCGGGAATACTACCTGCTATCTTGTTTTGTTCACACATATCCAAGGTCAATCTAACTGACGTTTTATGAGCCTTGTTCCAGGTTTAGGCAGAAAATGGAGACAAGTCTTAAACATGGAAGAAGGTTGTGTCTCTGCAGTTCATCCAGTTATATTCATTTTAGACCAGAAAATTATGGCTTCATTTAATTTCAAAGATTTGATCTAGTCTTCCTAGAATTCTACCTTTTCAAGAAGAGAACATATTTCAAGGATTTCAGAACACAAAGGTACAGTTGAAGAGATGACAGATCTTTTAAGTCTGGTTTTGCTGAATTATGATATAATTTCTGCATAGAAGACTTTTAAATTAATAGTAATGAGACATTAGAGATAGGTGGTTATCAGTATTCTTCGTTAGATGTAACAATATAATGCACAAGTTGTAATGCTATGACAGAGAGGATGTAGCAGCAGCTATAATTGTGGAAAAAATAATACAAATTAATAAGCAGCATCCAAAAAAGTTGGATAATTCTTTTTTTATCTACAACTTACATATGCTGTCACACATCTAACAGTCTTCTGCTTAAATTTTCTTTGCCACGTGATCTAGACGAGGCTTCCAGAAATACTTTTTCACTAGACTCCCTTACATTTCTACACTTCAGAAAGCAAAGATTTGTCTCAGGCTTTCTGAACAGCATAAACTGGATGGATTTAGTCCAACAGATTTTCACTTACAATAGGAAATTAATTATCATGGTCACCCAGTATTTTGTCTGTTTGTTTCCACTGTTATCTGAAGAAAAAGTCATAAATCAGGACATCAAATGTGCTAGAGGGAAATAATTACCTCGATTTTAGAGAGCTTTCACCTTAAGTACAGTGAAAGACAAGGAACAGATAGGAGAAACAGAGTAGGGACACATGGCAACAACAGTTCTCGACAGAAATCTAACAAGCGAATGAATCTCTTCTGTAACTATGAAAAGAATCTGCTTCACTACGTCCATACCAGTATCTTTCACAGTTAATATTCATAGTATGGCTAATGCATGTAACTTAGATCCAAATTTGCACTTTCATTCATTGTCAATAATCGATTTTCAAAACAAATACGAAAAAAAATGTTTTTAGCTTGTGTATGCTGGGAAAAAAAAATCTACTTCAATGAACCACATTTAGGGCATAATAATCTATGAGTTCTGAGCATAGGTAAAGAGACAAATTCAGTTTTATTAAACTGATACAAACCCTGAGTATGTCTAATTAATTCAAATAAATTATTTTGGATTAGTAACAGTGTAAATGAGAACAGAACGTAGCACAGCACTCACAGGCTTAGGATAAAGAGAATGATGACTGACACATATCTATATATTTGATAATGGAGGGGTCCTACACTCGAAGAAGTAGTTTAATTAATGGCATAAACTTTTTATTAATACAAGAGGAGGAAATTAATGCTTTACCACATGGTTTTTTTGTCCTTACCTGACAATCTCGTTATTCACAGAAATTGCTTCCAGGTATTTCTTCAGTGCATAATAATTATGGATATATTTCCGAATATAATAGCCTCGCCATCTTTTCTGAATCTAGAGGAAATAAGTATTTGCTTATGCTTAGTATATTTCAAATCAAAAAGTTGTATTCGTATGAAATATCTGTTGTACCCAAATAATATGGTTTCCTTAAAAGTCATATCAAGTAGAAGCACCAATATGTTTCAATGAAGAAAATGAGGGTAGGATGTAACATACCGTCGTTAAATGGTGATATACATTTACCATTAAATGCCAACATTAAAAAAATAATGTAAAGTTTTAAACCACTGTTTATATTGGGTTGTGGCAACGAAAAAAAGTGTCTGCTACTGCCAGTTGTATTACTCTATGTAAGAACAGTAAAAAACAGACAACAGAAGAGGTGCCTTTTCTCAGGTACAGTATGCCTGCCCTACTGAGTCACCACCTAACCAATATCTTCTGCTACACTCTGGCTTCTGTGCTCTGAATATAATCTAAACTGAATAGAAGTCTTCCCAGCAGCTCAGTGGATCAGGCTTTCTGGAAACATAATTTACAATTTGCAGTTCTTTAATCTCCAAGGTAAGATGATGCAGGTCTATTTGTTGCACAATAATTTATAACAGATAAAGCTTTAACTGGAAAAGGGAACCCCTCTATCTGTAGCTATTCCTAAAGTTGTGTTAAGAATAGAAATTAGGCAGCATCCTCCACCAGAAATAATTCATATTTTGGCACATTTTAAAAAGCACCAGTTAAAAAAACCAAACAAACAAACCAAAACAAAACTAAACAAAAAAGGGAAGAAAAGACCTAGTGTAGCCTCACTTTCCCCAAGAATTTATTTCAACAAAACAGTTTAAAAATTCTCTGATATTTAAAAGTTCTAATCATGATGTTTCTGAAACAATTACAGGTTTACTGGTTATTTGTTTTGTGGGAAGGGAAAGTAAGTATTAATTAGGTAAAAAATTATGAGTACTGCCATTTGGTTAGCCATATGCCATGACATGTACAATGGGAAGATGTAACTTGCTCTATTCAGTCATGCTGAGAGTTGCTCTCACTCTTCATTTTCTTTCCCGTAAGAGGTCAGTGTATTCTTGATCAATACATCTGAAAAATAAATTAATGATCTTTTCCTCTGTTCTCAGTGTCTAGTTCTTCTTTCTTCACACTCTTACCTCCTTGAATTTATTCTTCCTGCAAAATATTCTTTACTTCCTTCCTTGCATTTTATCTCCTTCTTTTTCTCAATGTATTCCTAAATTAATTTTCTGATTTCTATCTTCTACTCTGCATTACCCTCACTCCTGCTCCAACTTCCATTTCTTTGGCCTTTACAGCTTTGAAATCTTAAAAGACATAACAGCTGAAAGGCAGAGTCTACATTAAAAAAGCAAGAAGACAGGTCTTATGATCCAAAAGCAACTCCAAGGTGAGAAGCTACTCACTTTCACTAAGCGCATTGAACGAAAGAATACTATAATTTGCCAAGAGCTCTTTGTCCTGTGGGCCTCTGGCTACTAGACTTTTCAAGAACTTAAACTCTTCAGTGTATATACAAGGAATATTTTTCTTCTTTTTCTTTTACACCAACCCTTCTCTTTCCAGAACCAAGGAATGACTTGGTAAGTGGAGTACACTCCATGTGTTTGTGTTTTGTTTGGTTTTTTTCCTTACTCCATCTCTTATTCCAAAGCAGCGTGTAAAAAAAGGAAAAAAGAGTGACATGTTGTGTCCTGTTTGATTCAGGAAGAAGGCAAAGGAAAAATATCTGGTATTCTCCACACTATCAATCAACCTTTGCACTCAGTGACTTCGGAGTCTCTATCATCAAGTCTTGGGAGTGCCCTTCAGTAACAGGCAAAGTTCTCTCCTTCCAGTTTCATTGCAGTCCAATTTAAATTAGACCCAGAACTAATTTTAAAAGTTGATGTTTTCTTTTACCTACACGTTGTTGTTTGTTTGTGGTTTTTTGAATAAAAAAGGTTTGGACCTCTAGATACAATATGAATAAGTAATAGTTAACGTGGGCAGCTGAACAGGGGAACAAGAAAGGTTAAGCACTAAACATGCTTCTTTGCACTAGGTGATAGCAAATTTCCTGCTCTTTGCAACTCCACTTTCTCATACACAAGCTTATTGGGTTAAAAAGGGATAGAGAAAGAGCAATGAATGAGTATGCCTTCAGAGATACGGGATTAAGCAAAATCCTTTGCATGTGAATAAGGATATTAGCTTTGTTTTTCTGTTTGGCTTCAAAATTTCTCAACAAGAGCAACTTGGCTCCTATATAGCTGTGTGCTCATCAATGAAGGATTATGGTCCCTTTGAAACTCTTTCTGACAGTCTTCACCTCACAGTTATAAAGGCAGAACTGGCTATTTCTGGGTTAAAGGATCAAAACTCAAACTGAAAGACAAAAGACTCAAATGGTATAAAGCTATAACTATCTCTAGTGGGCCCAGCGTACCAATTAAATGCCACAGTCTACCTGTATTTACATCACTTTCTGTTCAGAATGACCTCACTGATTTCAACTGAATGAAACATAAGTAAGAAAAACTGCACCATGTCTCAAATTATTTTATGTTAGGCTTCTGTATGTCAGAGAGCACAAAACTGAAGACTAATCTTTTTGGAAAAGAACGTTTTATACAAAGCTTCTGATGATGTTCATATTTTCTATGTGAAAGTTCTAAATGTTTGCTTTTATAAGGAAGCATAATGTGTTATGACTATTTTTCTTTTTAATTCCAAGGTGAATGTTTAAAAAATTCTTGAAAAAAAAGAGACAAGTGTGTATGCCCTTCAAAGTAATTAGCAAGTTTCAACAGTGATTGGTACAAAACAATTATTGTCATTGATCAGCACTGAACAGATAATTTTAAACAAAGTCATTGTGTGCTCAGCAGATTACAGCTTGTTAACGGGCAAGTTCTAAATGACCCCTTAAGCTAGTCAAATCAATGATGCATATTCCTCATTAAGTAACATCAAAATGTAAGTGGTCTTATAAATAATGTTTATTTTAAGCACTAAAACAAATGGCAAAACCTTGATATATCAAAAGCCATCTGCTCAGGGAAATATTTTTTTCCATAGGACTATTTTTGTTGCTGAAAATTTATAGCAACCTTAAATCTTTGAAGGGAGGGAATCGTATTCTGACCTAGGACTCAAAACTCAAATTGATTAAAACAAGTTCTCTGATTTAATTTAGAAAGGTGAAACTGACAGTTCTGGTTACAACTAAATGCAATCCAGGCAGACAGAGATGTAGACTGACTTCGAAACTATGAGTACGTGTACACCCTCAATGATACCTCAACTGCCAAAATCGAAAGTGCCTTTCTAATCAGTGAATATAAACCGAAATAAATATTTTAATAATACTATGAAGCAAAGCTACGTGGTTAAATAGAAGAACAGACACAGTTGTTGTTATATTTTCAGAACATATTAGTTGTATATTAATTGTGACTCAAACTCACAATGTGTGAATATGAGGTTTTGTGGGTTTAAGAAACCTAAAGTCCGGCCATGTATCTTCTGTGCAGAAACTCAGCGGGCCTTATTGTCTATTGTCCTGGACATTGGTTAGTTCTTCAAAAAACAGATGACACCCAAAAAAACCATTTGGTGTTTCAGAATGGTAGGATTTTAAATCTGCTCTGCAGACATAGCTGCACAAGATTTAGACAGAGGAGAATCAGATTCTGACATTTGCAACTAAATAAAGATCTGTTCTATTGTTTTCTACTGATTTAAATTTCCATTAAAGAAAAGGACATGACTGAAAAAATGGTGCTTTGAAGATTTATATCACCTAATGATTCGACATTATATTTCCATTATAAATGAATGGGAACACATTCACTTTCTTTTAAAAATGAAAGACCAAATGCAAAACTCCATTTGACTAGAATACATAATTACCTCTGAAATCTGGTCTTCAAATGCCTTCTAAAAGTACGCAGCCAACTTTTAAGAGCTGGCTTGCATCTTGTGTTTTCTCACTGATTTCAGCTGCATGAGTATACAGCATTTATCCGCTGTGGAATACTTTCAAACTAGCTAACTAAGGAATAAACTAAAGCAAAAAAAAGCGCATTTCTGAGGAATTAGATTGCTGTTGAACACCTTCAGCTCTCTAGCATGCATCAAATGGAACATTCTATTTTGTGCCTTTGAGAGAATCGGCACTAAGTCAAAAACTTGATGGGAACACATTTCTTGAGTGTGAGTTATTCTGGAGCCAGAAAGGCCACAAAATTTAAATCCATTCTGAGAATCTTCCTAGTTTACAGGAGTTTCCTTGGGTTACTCTCCATCCTCACCACATTCCTACATTTGGTAGAATCCAAAAGATAAGATACCTTGCCTAAAAAGATACAGGCCTCTAAAGTAAAGTAAGTTTACTCCAAAAAAACAAACAATTAAGTGAGATAAAAAGACTTCATCCCAAGAATTATCTCATGCCCTTCCTATTTGTTTTAAGTGCAGTCCCAAAGTTCAGGAAAAAAAATGCTAATTTCTAGTTAAATATATTTTGCAGTTTCCCACATAACAAACCCTATTTGCTGTATATTTATTAAGGTTCAAGGATTGGTTATACTCTTCTTCATCTAGTCAAATTCACTCATAATATCATCAATGACATCAGTGCAGTTCCATCTCTATGTTTGGGCAATGAAATTGTCCTGTGCTCTCTGAGCTACTCTTTTGAGATGCAGTACATCAAATGTCATGTACTAAGAAAAGAAAAAGCACAACCACATCAATGAACATAAAAGCCCCATAGCTTGACAGAATTGGAATATATGTCTACATTTGTACGATCACTCACAGATAGAATGTTTGGGGTTTTTTTCAGTATCTTATATGGTAAGGTGCAATGAACATTTAAATGGGGCAAAAAAACCGTGCGGATGTCTTAAATTCAGCTACAGTTTTCAAATACAAGCCAGACTACTGAGTGTAACTTTAATTTTTAACTATGTACTATTTCCCACTGTTGCCATCAGCATATCAATCAAGTGTATATTATTCTGGTTTGCTCATTTTATTAAAAGCAAATTCGGAGCACAATTGACTTTTCATTTGTTTAACAAGTGAAGAAATATTTACCCTGACAGCCATTTCATTGTAGAAATTCATCTTCATAATAAAATATGCTGTCTGTGAATCAAGGAAAAAAAAGATGGCATATATTTCAGTTACACAAAGACAGTGCTCCTATTTTTACATATAAAAGATAAGAATCTTTATACATAATACATAATAAGAGTTCTAGGCTTAGAGAGAATAAAATCAAACTTTGTATTGAAGAGATAGGCTTCCTAATACATAATGCAGGCTTAACCAGAAAAATCTATGGTAGTCAAACTAGGAGCTAATGGAGATATATGATCATAAAATGCTCTCCGCTGAGTTTGATAATCAATGGGGCTCTACTGAGAGTAGAATAACAAAGCAGAAATATTCACAAGTGCTGGTGACACGTAGTATTGTATGATTTATTCACTGGGGTTCTTTTAGCCAAAACTCACAGAAACATAAAAGGAATTCATATTTCAAGACGTCTGGTTTAATGAAAAATTCAAAGAAATGCTGTCTTCAGTCGAAATCGTTCAAGGATATGGATGCAGTGATGGAGCAAAATTGTGCCTTCCAACCATCTGTACTAAATGTTATGTACTTAGCTGCCTCCCGAGTAATCCTTGGGAATTTTGTTTCATTTAATATTCATTTTAACATCATAAAATCATAAATACAATGATACCATGTTACAGTGAATCCCCTGATATAGAAAACATTTCCTGAAGTCTTGGTTTCCTTCCAGTAAAGTAGAATTCCTCTCATAGTGAATGAATCCCCTATTATACTAAGCAATCACTTGGCAGCATAGGTTATTTTAATGGATACATCACTTTAAACTAAGCTTTCACATCTGTTCCGCCCTCTAATTACAAATGCAAAATGAACATAATTCACAATTGTATCATAAAAAGTAAAATATAAGTACTTTGAATGCAAGAGTATGTCCTTTATTTAGCACAACATGCAGCTTTTATGTGTTTCTCATGTTTTAGACACAAATCAAAGGCAAAAGTGCTTTCCCCTGATATAGTGATTTTCTCCCCCATGACAAACAGGAATTCACTATAAAAGGGTTTCACTGTAATTAGTGTTATTTGAATTGCCTAGTCTGATCCAAAGCAAATTGTCTGTGGAGAGCAGCAGGACTGGATTATTTATCAACAGTCTGGGCAATTAAGAAACAGTTGGCTGCAATATGTTATTTACAAATGAACACAATGATGCTACTTCATTTTAAATTCTCTTTCTTCATTACATTAAGCAAGGCATAATTCCTGCAGTTTAATTAAGGTGCATTTTAAACGCTCACTTTAATATCATACCAATCCACTTATAATGGAAACAGTAGAAAAGATATTTCTTACACGAAAGAAAAATACAGGACTGCTAAATTTCAAAAAAGTTTCACAGATATATGTAGATGTATACACACATGCATACATATACACATTTGAGGGAATCTCTGCCCCAAAGGTGTGAATTAGAATAAATAGTGGAGTCTATCTTCCCTTTTGTCTCCATAAATATTTTCTGAGTGATACTAACTATAGATAGCTAATACTGGAATGAAATAATGATTGCTAGGTCTAAGTAAATTCCTAAACTGTTTGATTAAGTTGATACAGTTTTGCCTTTTAGCTTATGTTTTCTTTCTTTGAAACGGAATATTAGAGTTGCCGCACCACCAAAGAGATAAAGTACATTTTTAATGGAAATCCCCAAGCTTAAAAATTATCATCCAATTGCTGTCCAACAATGACTAAACCTTTTGTTTATTCTTCTCATTTTTGAAGGCTGTAGGCACTTAGGTCTGAATCCATCCCATTTCACTGAAGAACCTAAATTGGAGACCTAACATCATTATGCACTTTATATCGTCAAAACTGAAAGACAGTGGGAGCACTTTCCCTCTGAGCTTGGCAAAGTGTTGAAGAGCTCTGCAATTGCCTCTCTGTCTACCACTTACAAAGACAGTCAATGGCAGCTAGAGTCCTAACTTGCATACCTCACTTAGGGGTGAGAAATCCAGGCCTTACCCTACCACTGCTTGCCAAGGTCACTCACAATAAAAAGGAAATTACACATTCCCGCTTTTACTCAACGTTGTTCTAAATCACAAGTCAGCCAAATGCTGAATTGCTCTTCTAATTATCTTAGAACCTTATCTTTGCACCAAAAGCCAAAGCCTCTGTCACCATCTAGGTTCTGTCGCAACGGATTTGCCCTCTGGTTTCTCTTCCTGATGAGAATAACATGTACTAGTTCTGCTATTACAAGTGATGGAGATATGTTCATACTGATTCACAAAAGCGTAGCCAACACTTAGTGCTTCAGCCCAAGTCTATATTTATGTGCTTTCCTAGTAAACAGAGAAGGAACCAACACATCAACACATGGTCTAAGTTGGGAGCAGGCACTTTTTTTTTTTAATAGAGCAATAGGTATTTGACTAATTCCTGTTCAACTGGGACTATTTAAAACTGGTTACTGAGTTGAAGCTAAACTATTTAGGGTGGTATCAAACTACATCACATAAAATATTCACTTTTTTCAACTGCATCTCCTTCCAAAGTGAGCGGAAAATATGGCCATTGTACATGTTGACTTCATATAACAATGAAATGTTACTATACCCTTTGCTTTAACAAGTGATTTCTTGACTTTGAGAAATATTGTAAAAAGACACAGTGATGTAAAGTTTGATTCATGCTCTGGTGTTTGCCTGGTCTTACATGTCACACTTTCCTGCAGGTCATGCAAGAAGACTTTCAGAATCCAGTACAACCAATGTAACTGTAGAAGCACAGTTCTTAATTTTAGCTTGCGATTAATATTAGGAAACGAAGCTTTATTCCAAAGCACCTATATTTAGAATTGAATTTATTCGTATGAACAGCATCAATAGGGTTTTTTTTAACTTAATGTACCTTAACAATCAAAAGAAGGGGCACTAGAGGAGTAACACATGGAATACTGGTAGTGATGCACATCTGGACAGCCAATCTGATAAGCCTCAGCCTTTGTCATTTTCCGCATCAGTACTACACACATTTTACAATTTTGAATATAATCATTAAATTGATTTATTATCAAGTAATCATAGGCATTTTGTGCATATGCTTTGTCTTGTTTGCTGGCAGCAGATACCAATCCAATCATTATCAGCGGACAAATTTCAAAGTGACCAATTTTTTGGTATTTAAAGAACTATCATGTCAAATGTATCATTGTGTTTCACAATCAAGAGTTGTTACAACAGTTATTAGCAAGAGTTCCATGCAAATATTAACTGATCTGAAGCATATCTAAGCCATCCATGATAAGCATTTGTCTAACATCCTCTTAAAATCCTGCAGCAGACAGAGTTCCACAACATCTTTTGGCAGTATGTGTCAATGTTCCACACAAAGTTGATTTCTTCCTTCCCTTTTCCCAATGGCTGCATGGATACTTTTTTTTCATCAACACATTTTAATATACATTAACATGATCATATCTCTCTTTTTCTACTGAATCTTTTCCAGATTGAACAAACCTTCCTAAACTCAGGGACAATATTCAGCTAAAGTCCCACTTTTTTTTCTTTTTTTAAAGCAGAACACAATCCAACCATTCAGCTATCTGTCCTGTATTCAAAAATTTGTATTGTAGAATGTAGACTGAAAACAAGATTATTAGTTAAACCAGGTAAATTGTAAGAGACAAAATCTTTAACTAGATTACTGATAGACTTGGTGGGAAAAGTAGACAAGCTTTCAGGCACACAAGTCCTGCTACTTGAAAACATAGTTTAATAGGACCTTAGGTATGGACTTTAGCTTGTAATACGAGTTATCACGGCTCAATTTTTTGATTGAGCTATTGTCTATTTTGTCTGAAACACAATTTAACTTTAACAGAATTAATCAAGAAGAAATTACTAACAAGTTTGAAACTATTGTAAAATATTAACATAAATTCATCAATTAGTGAAGTAAACTACGTACTAAAAAATTATTTGTTTTATGTTAAAGGCAAATTAGTTTCTTCTTAATCTCCTAAACCTGCTAACAGAGGTTTTAGCTTGTGTGCTATCATACACTTTAGCTATCTTCAAGTCCATCACGGGAATTAGATTGACTGTGATCTGCTGTGTGCCTTAAGGCAAAACCTCAAATACTTCAAGGTTCATTAAGTAAGAAATTTAAACCACTAAAACATAGAACAGCAATGTGTAGACACATTGGCTTATTTTATTTTCAGAATTAAAAGTTCTGCCAGGAAAAAAAAGCATCTTTAAAAGCTCCAATCCTGCAATTAGCATCATATGTGAAGGCTTCTGCATGAGCAGATCTCATTGCTGGTTTGGGGACTAATACTCCAGAGCTGCAAACACTGACTTAACTTGACCACCATGAGTAGGCTTACTGAAATTAATGGTGCTTTTCATGATAGTAAAGTTAAGTATGTGTCTGTGTATATAAAGGACCAAGTTTCAGCTTTTTAATTTCAAGATGAGTGAATGAATTACCTCACATGTATTCTATAAATAAACAAATAACATTTTTAAAACCAGTTTTCTACCTCCACCATTTTTCTGAAGTATCTTCTGCTTCGATAGCCTTTCCACCACTTCTGTATACAAATTGCCATTTTGTTCAGATATCTAAAATGAAATATATTAACAAAATAATTATTGTTTTGAGACTTGAGTTTATTTTTCCCTAATATTAAAAAAACCCATATAGAGTATTATATCCATGCTTATCCCAAACAGATGGTCACAGCAAACACACTTTATACACATTCATGGATGCATATATAACTATGCACACACATATACACACTTATTTACCAACAGAGACATGTATGTATACGTACACACATGCTTTGCTTTCGGAAAAAGTGGGTTACTGCAAACTTATCTATTTATTATTTCAGTTATGATTACAAAAGTTTAATGAAATAACATTACAAACGTAATTTGTATGATAGATTATTGTATTTTCATGAATGGTTTTAACCAACGTATCTGTCTGGTTCAGAATTTTTCCAGTCACATTCAACATTTTCACAGCTTTGTAATCTTCAAATATTTGACAAAACCCACAGATATCTGGAATTTTTAGACTACTTTTTTGCTTTTATAAAATTACACCTAGTTTAATTTCAAGTAAATCTTTACCCTTATTATATACTACTTTATTATGCTACTAAAAAATCTGTAAATGATGTCTTACATCAAATCTGCAGAAAACAATGCAATCATTACTTTGGAAATGCCTAGAAAAAGCTATATAGGAGAGCATTCATACCATCTACCTATGGACATCAAATTTAGAAGCCTTGCAGTACAGGTAGAGTCTCTCAGTGCAGGCAGTGTTTTCCAGCAGGTAATTCAAAGGATCTAAATGAGAGGGTAATTCAGAACACTGACAACTGGTTATATTGAGCCTGTGCTCCTAAGTCAGACACCACATCCATCTTTGGAAAGAGGATACTGAGCAGGATCCCTCTGTACACAGTTGCAGAGAAAATCCTCTTCTGCACTTAGCTGATTTAGGTCTTCTTACGTGCTCATTACAATTACTTTGTTCTTCTTACATTGGTCATTGCTAAGTACAAATGTATGTTTGGAATAGCATTTTCCTGCAGAATAGATCGGCAAAGACACTTAGGTTGTCACTTTCTTCTGCAGCATGTTGTTGTTACCCATGTGCTGGAAACAGAGGGGCACTAACCAACCCTCTGTTTGGAGGGGCTTTGGACATCGATGGCATAGCTGATATTCCTTGGAGGGTTGACATACCATA